GTCAGAAATTTTCACGGCCATCACGTAAAAGTGAGGGCAAAATAGGCAACCCATGTAAATTTATTAGACTAACCACAATCTGCTTACACGTGGTTAATCATAAACAGTTCCAAAATCGATTTTCATCAAGTGAGAATCGCGCCCAGACATGTCCTAAATCATTTTCTAGTTGTTCAATTAGCAGTTCCATCATTTTCTTGTACATAGGCATATAATGATCATTTATCATAGTCTTTGATAATCGGAGCTTACTGTACAATTCTCTCGGCGTCTGATACAGACAAACTTGTTCTTCCGGCCCATCTTGACCTGTTTCGCTTGCCTCGGGTGAATGTACAGATACAATGTGCATTATGCTACCAGGAGGATAAAAATGGTGATTATCTGAAACATCTGATGAAAAGATTGGCCTTTGGCTTTCTACTGTATTGGTCAATACCTTTTCCTCTTCAGTTATTTCTTTTATGGCAGCTTCTTCTTCATCCTGGATCTGGATATCAGCCTCGTCCTCCTGCCTTTGGAGCTCCTTCTCAAGTTCATACCACAACTCACCCTCGGTGATTTCCTCAAGGGTCGATGCAGCAGCGACTTCATCCACCCGAATGAGATCTTCCTCTTCATCAGTTCCATATTGCCTGGATTCGCTGGTTATTACTTCGCTTACAAGAGATTCAGATGTTTCCTCAGCAAGAAGAGAATTCTCAGTCAAATCTTCTGCTTTTGAGTTCGATGAATGGGCCACAGCACGGCGTCGGGGACCCATACATGTCCATGATGATATAGAAGAGCGGGTCCTAACAACTGCTTGGGCTACATCTTGTGCACGCTTCATTACAACCCGTAGATTTGCCAAAACAGAGCTCACCTTTCATTATACAAGAAGATTAGCCGCAATTGCATGTTCATTTAATACCCTTAATCCGAGGAATAATGCTACTTGTACATAATGAGGTTATATAATAATTTAAATACAGATGATGTGTCAAAAGAGAGTGAAGAAGATTTTTTTTTTTATTTAGTTGAATAAATTCTAATTCGGTCGTGTATGTAAACTATTATGTACTAAACTATTATGTACATGCAGCACAACTATAATCCGAGTATCAAATCAAGAGAATATGCGATAATAATGCACACATCACTTAGCAAACAATCAAGAGTTCAGACAAATGATTAAAGAGAATTTAGATTGTGCTTAGCTTTTCGCATAAGAAACTAGCATTTCTAAAGAGTAAAGAATGAAGAAATTCTATCCGTACTACTTATCTTGTGAAAAATCCACCCGATCAAGATTTTAGCATTACCTGAGTGATGCTAGAAACAGGCCTTAGAAGGGTCCCTGCACCAACAACCCTTGCTTTAGCATTCACTATAGATGGTAGACGAGACCCAAGAGCAGTGGCAGAGCGATATATCACGTTCAAAACTCTGTTGTGCTCAACTTGATCACGGAGGTCGTTTAACCAAGATGATGCTGTTACCTGATAATCAGTGTGTGTCAGGAGGAATTGAAAGTCTTGAAGGCTAAAGAATTGTTTGAACTAGGATGTAAGAAAATGTATCATTCAAATATTTCTTGATAAAGATAAGAATAACCACACCTCTGAACGAAGATCGTCCAAGGAAGCAGCTGAGAATGTAGGCACCAGATCAGAGCCATTGACTATCGTAGTAATGAAGTGTTTGCCTGACTCTGCCAACTCCCATGTCATACAGGCAGCTGTAAGAGAGAGACAATAGTAACTAAGACTAGCAGAAGAACATTTTTTTATTTTGATAAATAATAAAGGGATCAATCATAGAATTTGTATTTTGAAATTCACATTCACTTTACCATTTCAAGATGGAATACGGGAACATTGAGCCAAACGTATCCTTTACATGCCTTTAAGGAGCAATTTCTTTTAACAATTTTGTCATGTTGCTGGTATTTTGTGTGTATTTTTCTGATTTGAATTACGAAGCAGAAATATATTGCAATCGCCAATAAAATAGCTTTTGAATTGCCTCCAATGCATAAATTTTAATGCCCTCCTTCAGAATATATCAATGCTCAAGAAACTAGTAACATTCCATACTGCCATGTAATAATATTATGAACCCAGACATTCAGGTAACATTCCATTTAATAATACCATCAACCCGGGTATTCAAGATGGAAACTGAGTAACTATATAATAGATAATACAGTTAATGTAGCCGATCAAAACATGCCTGGTGCAAAAGTGACACAGGTGGTCGCAGGTAATTCTCTCTGTTCCCGGAGGATATATGTCAGTAGTGCAGCTGTACCACCACCAAGTGAATGACCAACAATCTGGAATGAAACAGTGAATCTTTGTGAAGATACTAAGAAAAGCATTTAGGAAATGAACTTTCAGATGAATAAAGGTCGACAACATAAATACTAGTAAGTCATGAAAGATTCTAAACATGGCTAGTCTATGGAGTAATTTCTTATGCCTAATCTCTTTCCTCTCAAATGAGGCCCGCTACATAATTTGATTAAGCTTCCATATCCTTGTTAACTAAGGTGATTGCATTCCTTTGTTTGATAAGAAAAACTTAGTAAGAAACCTAGTGCAGTCTATACACAAAAAAAAAAAAAAAAATGATAAAGAATGATGGAAGGGGGGATGGGGAAGAGAACCAGGTAACAAAGGAGCAAAGGATAACCATCCTTTACCTTCACTTTATAGTCAGGATTCTGTTCAAGAGCTTTGAGCAAGGATGAAGTGCTTAGTTTTGCTATCCACCGAGCAGCAGCAACCATCCCACAATGTGCATATCCCAAAATTAAATTGCTTATACCACCATCGTGCAAAACTGAATGGTGAAAAGGGACCACTGCACCTGTCGCTGCAGTCAATGTATCTTTAATGCTATGAGTTCCCCGAATCAAGAGAAGGAAGCACTTCGAGTTTTCATCACGCAAAATTGTGAAGGCGGGCTTCAAGAGCTGCAAATGATAAACATAAGATATCATAACTTTTCAAGATGCTGTAATAACCATTAAGATGTTATATGATGTATGGTAAGCAAATCACATACTCCTGCTTTGGGCTTCTGAAGAAGGACATCTACATCAGAGTATCCTGCAGACTCCAAAAATACTTGAAAAGGTTTTTTGGAGAAAAGCATGCAAAGGGTCAACAATTGTAAATAATGATACAACTTATCAATAATTTCAGGTCCCTTTAGTTGCAAACAATTTTCTCCTCCATATACACTTGCAACTTGTAAATTACCCTGCAAGATCAGTACACTAAATCATATATTAAGTCTTGATTCAAAAAGTTTAAATTGCCAAGAATAAGGTGCTATACTAACATAAAAGATGAGGAACCAGTTAATCCAGAGAAAATTTTAAGCAAATGAAGTTTATCTCATTAATTCCTTGCAGATAAGATTATACTCACCAACGCATGTGAAATGAAATAAAGAGCACGAGGAGGGGGGGGATAGTTTTACAACAAGCTAAAACATAAAAGAGAGTACATCGTCTGTAATTAGACAAATCAAATTACTACTGATGTCCTTTAAAGAGAATAGGTAAAAATTACTGCGCAGAGAAATGTTCCATAATTTCGTATCATCTCAACACCAGGGAGAAATAATTTATTTTCTACTAAAATACTATTAGAAATTCAGAACATTGGGCCAACTAAAAGAATGTTTCCATTAGCGTCTAATAATCAGCACCAGGTAATTCTGTAATTACTAAATTTAGTAATTAGAAAAGTTCTGTTCTACTAAATCTGACTAAAAGTCAAGCCATTCATGAAAGAATACTTGTTAAACAAAGAACTAGCAATGGTTGCATTAAAATTCCAAAACATAAACCATAAATGACATCGCAAAAACCTAGAATGTTACTCAATCAGATGAATAAGTCTACACGTTTGTTTAACTGAAGCTAAAAGTGAACACAAATATCGTAGAAACACTATAAAGATAAAAGAAAAAGTTGTACCTGCCTTCGAATTAGATAATTAATTCCAAAAGCAAGGTCACCAATCGGCCATTTCCCGAGAGTTTCTGAATACGTAAACCTCAGAGTCTCTGAGAGAATGGAGATCGTCTCGAGCCATGTAGCAGGCGCTTGAGCTGGCTGCCTAACCACTCGTTTCTTCAAAGATCGAGTCTTTGATTTCGAGATATCACCTCCGATGTCCGTTTCCTTCCCTGCGGCCGAAGATAGCCTCCGGCTCAGAACGTAATAAAGAAGCACCATAGTCCCCACCGCCGTCGCCATTGTCGTTGCCGCCATCAGATCAGTCCCCAAAATAAAAAAAATTCCTACACGTAAATGAGTTGATTTCTTGAAAGGGCAATGACTATTAGAAGAAACTGCAGTTCGGAATTTCAGTGATCTATACATCTACACTTTACAGAGAAGCAAACAATACAGCTTAAAGCTCAGCACTTCAAATTTGTTGAAATGACTGAATTACCCTTATCATTAAACTTTAACGGTAATTTTTATATTTGTGATTGTGGCCACCATACCCTCGACCTTCACTTGATATCAAAGATGGGTTGAATGAATGGAATACAATTGACGAAACCCTGAAGCTCACCATATTCGAATTTACAATTGACGAAACCCTGAAGCTTACCATATTCGAATTTCTAGGGCCGTGTTTGATAGGCCACATTTTTAGAGGAAGTAGGAAAATATTTTCCACTTTCCACTTTTTTAACTGTTTGATAGACGAAATTTTCCACATAAAATATTTTCCGGATTTTCCCCACACGTATGCAATTTTCGGGTTTTTGATGAAAAT